GAGCCATTAATTCTGTTAAATGATTGTTGTTATTTGAATTAATTTGAATATCCCATTTTGTATTACAAAACAAATGGTGCAAAATCTAGTTATTCCACTTTGACTTGAAGTTGGTGTTTATCCTGTAGTTCAAGAACTTGTACATGTGATGGTTCTCCTAGCAGACCTTACTTTCATGGGATCCACATGGCGGCCCTCCCAGACCTTACTTTCATGGGATCCACTTGGGTTCTTTTTCAATAAAGACATTAGAAGAACAATTTCATAGGATCCAATTCGGTTTTTTTTCATTTAACAGTTTAAAAGAAGAAATTAGAAACAAGTTTATTTTTATTATGTTTTAAATTGTGCAGGATACTTTTGGTGAGATATGCTTGAACAATTGCACGTGCACTCAGAAAAAGAAGCTGGTAACTATTTTCCTGTAGCATACATGGAAACATTTCTCAGGAAAATGCACCCATTTCTGGTACTTCATCACTGAGGAAGAGGACATAAAATATAAAATCTTCAAAATAGGGACGGTTCACCTAAAGAGAACACACATACCTTTATTTCCGAAAAAAGTCTTGCAATTCCAGAATGAGTCCAATCCTTCCCGACCAAAGGCATGAACCGACCAAGAACATCAGACCTGCATGATTTGGTTCTTAGTTGTGAGCCATATCATTACTTCTAAGTTGTCTTATCCCTTGTTTGGTGGGATGATTTTCAAGGAGAGGGAAGAGGAAGGGTGGAATCTATTTGACCAACCATAGATCCTTCAATTTCAAAGGGAAATTCATAAGCAGACATCCCCAGTACAAACGGAACAGCTTTCTCCCATGACAAGTACTTCCCATGGACCCTCACAACCAAATTTTCATTTTTAATAATTGATTTTGCAGAGTTTTTAAATTCCATTTCAGATATGCGATTTGCATCAAATACTTCTACAGCCAAACCAGACCCCATTCCAGGATGAAGAAGGTTCCCACAAAGAGAAATCTCTAGTCCTGCACACACATAAAATTATAAGGTGTATTGAGCAAGAAGATAGCCTCCTTGATGTCAAATGAAACAAATACTACATTCATCCCAAAATAGGAGCTATGTCTCACCCGTACAACTAAATTCTGGTAAGGTACACATCAACTAGTCCGTATATGTTTAATTTTCAATTTATTTGTTCATTTGGGTAACTTTAGTGTACTTCACTTATAAGGTACACTTGTCTTTTCTTTTTAATGAAAAGCAATACATCAAATATTAGGAAATTTAGATTCCTTAGTTCAAAGAGGACTCTTTTTCTAGGACAAAAGTAGCACATGGGAAAAAATGCATGGCATGTACTGATGTAGATTTCAAAGCATTTGGGGGAAAGNGTACAACTAAATTCTGGTAAGGTACACATCAACTAGTCCGTATATGTTTAATTTTCAATTTATTTGTTCATTTGGGTAACTTTAGTGTACTTCACTTATAAGGTACACTTGTCTTTTCTTTTTAATGAAAAGCAATACATCAAATATTAGGAAATTTAGATTCCTTAGTTCAAAGAGGACTCTTTTTCTAGGACAAAAGTAGCACATGGAAAAAAATGCATGGCATGTACTGATGTAGATTTCAAAGCATTTGGGGGAAAGATGAAAATAGGTTCTCCTTAAATGCTACATATTGACCTGTGATGTTGGTCAAGTAAACAGAACATGATCTTTGTTTTAGCAAGTCGACTGAAACAGGAGAAAAACTGTTAGAAGATTCAAAACAATTCAAATGGAAGACACAAATTCATTCAATGCGAGCTTATATATATGAAGATATAAAATAAACTAACCAAGGCAGAACAACTTAAGAAGGTAAAAAATATTACCAAACCAGACAAAATAGACAGCAAAGACACCAAGATATTAATAGTTATACAGAAACAGCTCCACGAGGTTTTCTTATACTGATCAGAAGACATCATTCATTGAACTTACATGTGAACTTGAGATCAGGAGGTTGAATCACCACCAAGTCTGTGCCAGTCATTCTTCCTCACCTGAAACCACCATTAGGTCACCACACAAATACCTTAACTACTGCCAAACAGAAAATCTAAACAGACACCCTACTAAGAAAAAGTTCAATGCAATGCAGAATAAGTGAATACAAAAACCCCCAACTTCATAATCACTTAAAATACTTGCAAAGTAGCAAATACATTCTATTTGCAGAAAATCTATATGCAGATAGTATTCTGTGAATGGTTATTAATTTAAATTCTAAAATAAGTTTTAAAATATAATACCAAAATAGTTTTCAACTGATAGGTAATAATAACAAATTTCACCCATGACTTAAACGAAACGCTATAAACTTGCTTTAAGAAACAGATTAGTATAAACAATGATACTTACCTTAACAGTGATTTCTGCGAAGATTTATTCTGTGAAGAAATAGTACTTACCTTAACAATGATCTTGGAAATTAGAGCAAATGAAAGTGAAAAACAGATTATTCACTTCAAACAATGAAAAGAAAGTGGGTAATTACAAATAATTATCACAATCGGAGGAGATAACCATTCTCTACCAATGAGTGTAATTTTTTTTATAAAAAAACCAGAAACAATTCACAAACCTGAAAGCAAAGCACAAGACTGTGATTCATTCCATCTTAAAAAGACGATTATAAATACCTGCTTGTTTGACAAAAATGTAAAGTATGTTTAAATTATTAATAATTACGAGTATATTCCAAAATTTTGAACTGGAAAAATGAAGGGGAAGTCAGAGGTCTTTCACGTACAGCCCGGAAAACAACCAAATCGTGTAAAAAATTCAAAATTAATGCAAATCAATTACATATTTTTTGGGGAATCCGGTAATGACACAAATTCCGTAATAACGTATAACATGAATCACTCATCCATTTACTCCTCAGGTGAAGAATGAAAGTCCATAGCCAATTCAAGCATTTACTCCTATAGCCGGTGAAACCGTGGAATGCGCGACCCTTTCATGACCCTTTCATCCGATTACAGAGAAGTAATTGCCTGCGAATGATCCGGCTTTGGGCTGTGTTTGGATGGATCGGATATGAAATTGGATTTAACTTGGCGAGCATTCACTAATTCACTAAACGAAAGGTCAAAAGCCAATCCAAAGTTTTACCCAAAATCTGCCCCTAAAAGCAGTTTCAAAACCAATCCTTAAAAATTCCCTAAAAGTAGGCAGCCTCATAGTCAATCGCCAAACAAGGAAACAAATTCCCTACATAGAAGGGATCCCAAAATTCTAAAGTAATAGTCAAATGTAAAATTTAACCGTAAATAAGCAAGCCGTGAGGTGACTGAGCTCATAAAATATTTCATCAAGGGAAAAGAAGCATAGTACAGAATAGTGCTAATCACTGAAACGGACCGAAACAAAACACATTTTTTTATACAATGGGTGTCAAGTAACTAATATTTCCTGTTCAATAGTCTTTTATGTTGAATGAATATGTTATTTCATTGCATTTCGTAATAGTATTTATTATATTCTAAGTGAATGATGTAATATTTCTTTAATCAACGGTTACTTGATGTAGGTGTTTCTGTTGTTATTTCGTTTTACAAGTAATCTGTTATGCAGGGAGACATAAAATTTCGATGAGACGTGATTTGCCCTGTGAAGGAAGTGTTGCTTTGCTTTGGAAAAGATAGTTTTGTTTAAATAAGACACTGCATAGAGAATAAGAAACTGCACCGAGTTTAAGACGTCCAAAGATACTGGGTATTTGGGATATTCTGTAATGTAATTATGCGAATATAGTTATCCAATTATTTGTACATGCATTGGGGCTGAATCTGAAATACAGACCCATAGGCAGATTGACGTGTTAAACTCGGCCATTTGGTACGGGATGTGTGGTGACTGAGTTGGACCTATGACCTTAACCTTAGTTTGTTGGGGAATGGTTTGCCTAAGTTTCGTTAGAGAAGTCTCATAGTATTACGAAACTAAACACTATAAGCAAAAGTCAAAATGAAATCCCAACTGTAACAGTAAATCCTATGCCAAAAACAGTCTCAAGGATTAAAGTTCAACGCGGCAAGTACAATTGACCAGACCTCTAAACCAGATTTTTAGATCATGACAAAGATTAAGCCTTTAACCACCAGTAGTTGTTACTCTTTTTTTGCCTACGTCAATATGTATTATTATTTCTCTCAACAGCCAAAAGTTTTATGTAGGAAAGTGTTCTATACTGAATGAATATGTGATTGTAAAACTCAACGAATCCATGAGCTTTTGTATGTGAATATTTATTCATCGAATAGCGTGCTATAACTAATCATAAAACCAAAATGAGGATTGATAACCAAAACATAGGTCCTAACCAAGACATGATGAGTGAACACTAAAACGCAGTTTCTCATTTTAAATCATATCCTCCAAAACACAAATAGAAAACAAAAACCCTAACCGAAAAAGACATGTGAATGACAAAACGAAAAGTCATAAATGAAACCAAAATTTGCCCCAAAAACCACTCTTAGACAGTAATTTCAAAATCAATCCCGCAAAAGTACCCTAAGAGCAGACCCAGTGTCATAGTGAACCCCTAAAGAAAGAATCAAATTCCTAGGTCATTAGATATGCCAAAAATCTAACCTCAAAGTGAAACGTAGATTGGAGTGATAAAAACCAAGAATTGAGGTCACTGAAGACATAAAATCCTTAATGCAGAATAAAAAGCATGCTGAAAAACAGTAGTAATCACTAAAACAAAACCAAACAAATAAAATTTTGTTACACAATGGGTCTGAAGTGACTATTATTTCTGGTTTAGAAGTGTTTTATGTTGAATCGTGATATTATTTCATATATTTTCATTATAATATTTATTTAAGTGTAAGTGAATGGTGTAATACCTGGTTAAGCAAGGCTTACTTGATGTATCTCTTTCCCGTCTTGTTTGATATTGAAACAAATCTCTTATGCAGGTTCAGATTAATTTCGGATTAGTCGTGATTTCCCTTGGGAAGGAAGTGTTGCTTGGCTTTACAAAAGCTGGAGCTGTTTAAATAACACATTTTAAAGAGAATCAGTATTCAAGTTTAAAGGAAAAGTATTGAGTATTATTATTCTATAAAGGTGGTTTATATGTAGGGAAGCAATAAGTAAGATGTTGATGTATGGTTTTATTGGAGGGTGATAGGTGTTTAAAAGGTAATAATGAACATCATTATTTTGAATTTTTAAAATTTAAATGACAATAAACTGATATGTCATTTAATTAGGTTGAATGTGGATATTAAAGGCGTAAATTTACATTTATTGGTATCCATTAATTGTGTTTAATGAAAAATGGCATTTTAATTAATACCTTACACATCACCTGACAGATACCTTATATACATGCACAAATTATATATTATATTTATCTTAAAATTCTTAACTATGGAGTTTATGAAATTCAAAAATATAAAATTGAATTTAATATGTATTGTTATTGAATTTTGAAAATATAATTTCAAAAATAAATTTATATAGGATTTTTAAAATATATATCAGAATTAGGATTTTGAAAATTTTATTTTGAAAATATATATTCATTTTAAACCTAGCCTCTACAACCATACTTTAGAGGACATCCTCAACAGACACCAAACCCTAAAATATTGACCCAAAAAATGGACATAAAGACTAAAACCAAAAGTCAAAACCCACTTTAAGAAACAGATTAGTATAAACAAAGATACTTACCTTAACAGTGATTTCTGCGAAGATTTTTTCTGTGAAGAAATAGTACTTACCTTAACAATGATCTTGGAAATTAGAGCAAATGAAAGTGAAAAACAGATTATTCACTTCAAACAATGAAAAGAAAGTGGGTAATTACAAATAATTATCACAATCGGAGGAGATAACCATTCTCTACCAATGAGTGTAATTTTTTATATAAAAAAACCAGAAACAATTCACAAACCTGAAAGCAAAGCACAAGACTGTGATTCATTCCATCTTAAAAAGACGATTATAAATACCTGCTTGTTTGACAAAAATGTAAAGTATGTTTAAATTATTAATAATTACGAGTATATTCCAAAATTTTGAACTGGAAAAATGAAGGGGAAGTCAGAGGTCTTTCACGTACAGCCCGGAAAACAACCAAATCGTGTAAAAAATTCAAAAGTAATGCAAATCAATTACATATTTTTTTGGGGAATCCGGAAATGACACAAATTCCGTAGTAACGTATAACATGAATCACTCATCCATTTACTCCTCAGGTGAAGAATGAAAGTCCATAGCCAATTCAAGCATTTACTCCTATAGTCGGTGAAACCGTGGAATGCGCGACCCTTTCATCCGATTACAGAGAAGTAATTGCCTGCGAATGATCCGGCTTTGGGCTGTGTTTGGATGGATCGGATATGAAATTGGATTTAACTTGGCGAGAATTCACTAATTCACTAAACGAAAGGTCAAAAGCCAATCCAAAGTTTTACCCAAAATCTGCCCCTAAAAGCAGTCCCAAAAAGCAGTTTCAAAACCAATCCTTAAAAATTCCCTAAAAGTAGGCAGCCTCATAGTCAATCGCCAAACAAAGAAACAAATTCCCTACATAGAAGGGATCCCAAAATTCTAAAGTAATAGTCAAATGTAGAATTTAACCGTAAATAAGCAAGCCGTGAGGTGAGTGAGCTCATAAAATATTTCATCAAGGGAAAAAAAAGCATAGTACAGAATAGTGCTAATCTCTGAAACGGACCGAAACAAAACACATTTTGTTATACAATGGGTGTCAAGTAACTAATATTTCCTGTTCAAGTCTTTTATGTTGAATGAATATGTTATTTCATTGCATTTCGTAATAGTATTTATTATATTCTAAGTGAATGATGTAATATTTCATTAATCAACGGTTACTTGATGTAAGTGTTTCTGTTGTTATTTCGTTTTACAAGTAATCTGTTATGCAGGGAGACATAAAATTTCGATGAGACGTGATTTGCCTTGTGAAGGAAGTGTAGCTTTGCTTTGGAAAAGATAGTTTTATTTAAATAAGACACTGCATAGAGAAAAAGACACTGCACCGAGTTTAAGACGTCCAAAGATACTGGGTATTTGGGATATTCTGTAATGTAATTATGCGAATATAGTTATCCAATTATTTGTACATGCATTGGGGCTGAATCTGAAATACAGACCCATAGGCAGATTGACGTGTTAAACTCGGCTATTTGGTACGGGATGTGTGGTGACTGAGTTGGACCTATGACCTTAACCTTAGTTTGTTGGGGAATGGTTTGCCTAAGTTTCGTTAGAGAAGTCTCATAGTATTACGAAACTAAACACTATAAGCAAAAGTCAAAATGAAATCCCAACTGTAACAGTAAATCCTATGCCAAAAACAGTCTCAAGGATTAAAGTTCAACGCGGCAAGTACAATTGACCAGACCTCTAAACCAGATTTTAGATCATGACAAAGATTAAGCCTTTAACCACCAGTATTTGTTACTCTTTTTTTGCCTACGTCAATATGTATTATTATTTCTCTCAACAGCCAAAAGTTTTATGTAGGAAAGTGTTCTATACTGAATGAATATGTGATTGTAAAACTCAACGAATCCATGAGCTTTTGTATGTGATTATTTATTCATCGAATAGCGTGCTATAACTAATCATAAAACCAAAATGAGGATTGATAACCAAAACATAGGTCCTAACCAAGACATGATGAGTGAAAACTAAAACGCAGTTTCTCATTTTAAATCATATCCTCCAAAACACAAATAGAAAACAAAAACCCTAACCGAAAAAGACATGTGAATGACAAAACGAAAAGTCATAAATGAAACCAAAATTTGCCCCAAAAACCACTCTTAGACAGTAATTTCAAAATCAATCCCGCAAAAGCACCCTAAGAGCAGACCCAGTGTCATAGTGAACCCCTAAAGAAAGAATCAAATTCCTAGGTCATTAGCTAGGCCAAAAATCTAACCTCAAAGTGAAACGTAGATTGGAGTGATAAAAACCAAGAATTGAGGTCACTGAAGACATAAAATCCTTAATGCAGAATAAAGAGCATGCTGAAAAACAGTAGTAATCACTAAAACAAAACCAAACAAATAAAATTTTGTTACACAATGGGTCTGAAGTGACTATTATTTCTGGTTTAGAAGTGTTTTATGTTGAATCGTGATATTATTTCATATATTTTCATTATAATATTTATTTAAGTGTAAGTGAATGGTGTAATGCCTGGTTAAGCAAGGCTTACTTGATGTATCTCTTTCCCGTCTTGTTTGATATTGAAACAAATCTCTGATGCAGGGTCAGATTAATTTTGGATTAGTCGTGATTTCCCTTGGGAAGGAAGTGTTGCTTGGCTTTACAAAAGCTGGAGCTGTTTAAATAACACATTTTAAAGAGAATCAGTATTCAAGTTTAAAGGAAAAGTATTGAGTATTATTATTCTATAAAGGTGGTTTATATGTAGGGAAGCAATAAGTAAGATGTTGATGTATGGTTTTATTGGAGTGTGATAGGTGTTTAAAAGGTAATAATGAACATCATTATTTTGAATTTTTAAAATTTAAATGACAATAAACTGATATGTCATTTAATTAGGTTGAATGTGGATATTACAGGCGTAAATTTACATTTATTGGTATCCATTAATTGTGTTTAATGAAAAATGGTATTTTAATTAATACCTTACACATCACCTGACAGATACGTTATATACATGCACAAATTATATATTATATTTATCTTAAAATTCTTAACTATGGAGTTTATGAAATTCGAAAATATAAAATTGAATTTAATATGTATTGTTATTGAATTTTGAAAATATAATTTCAAAAATAAATTTATATAGGATTTTTAAAATATATATCAGAATTAGGATTTTGAAAATTTTATTTTGAAAATATATATTCATTTTAAACCTAGCCTCTACAACCATACTTTAGAGGACATCCTCAACAGACACCAAACCCTAAAATATTGACCCAAAAAATGGACATAAAGACTAAAACCAAAAGTCAAAACCCAACGCAAAATCTACTCAAACAACTGCCCCAAAAAACCATTCCCAAACACAAAACGTCAAACCTAACCTAGAACCTACCATAAAAGCAACCGAGGCATTTGTATGTCAATATTTTTTCATCCACCTACGTGCTATAAGTATTGTGGGGAAAAAAATTATTATCCTCCAAAACCCATCCATAATCTATGAAATCCGAAAAAATAAATCCAAACACAAAACTAATACCAAAAACAGTCCCCAAACACCAAATCCATAACCAAGACCAAAAACAATCCCCAAGCAGAAAATCCAGACCTATAATCACACCCAAACCCCAAACCAAGAAAATAAACCGACCCATTACCTAATCCAAATGCCCAATATCAAACCTGAACCTAGACCCTAACCGCAAATAACATGACCTTAACCCAGATTCAAGACCTAAAACCCCTAAACCAGAATTAAAAGCATTCCCATGATCTGCCAAATGCCAAAATGCAGATCAAAACTCAAAATCCAGCGTAATAAACAAAAGTTAAACACCACTCCCAAAACACTGACACAAAACCTTAAGAAGGCCAAGTTTGAAAAAGTACCTTGGCTTTGAAAAAGATATTCACAGAAAAATGGAGGTCTGTAAGTTCTGATTATTTTTCCCTGCCACAAGAACTTTAAACAACTTGGCCTTGGCCAACCTCCTTTCCACCTCATGCAGGGAGCGATAATTTATTATGACCCTTGATGTCCCTTGTCAAGGATGCCTTGCGTTGCCTAACAGGAGGTGTGTTTAAATAAGACAAATCCAAACAAAATGAGACATGAACTTTAAGGAAAAAGTATTCATTGTTATCATTCTACTAAGGTTTAGTCGTATTTATGCAAGCAAAAAGTAAGTTGTGGATGTATGATTATATAGGGATGTGATAGGTGTTTGAAAAGCAATAAAGAGTAGCATTAGTTTGAAATTTAGAATTTGAAATGACAATAAACTAATATTTCATTTAATTGCAGATATTGTGAATATTTTTGGTGTAAATAAGCAATTATTCGAGCCATTAATTCTGTTAAATGATTGTTGTTATTTGAATTAATTTGAATATCCCATTTTGTATTACAAAACAAATGGTGCAAAATCTAGTTATTCCACTTTGACTTGAAGTTGGTGTTTATCCTGTAGTTCAAGAACTTGTACATGTGATGGTTCTCCTAGCAGACCTTACTTTCATGGGATCCACATGGCGGCCCTCCCAGACCTTACTTTCATGGGATCCACTTGGGTTCTTTTTCAATAAAGACATTAGAAGAACAATTTCATAGGATCCAATTCGGTTTTTTTTCATTTAACAGTTTAAAAGAAGAAATTAGAAACAAGTTTATTTTTATTATGTTTTAAATTGTGCAGGATACTTTTGGTGAGATATGCTTGAACAATTGCACGTGCACTCAGAAAAAGAAGCTGGTAACTATTTTCCTGTAGCATACATGGAAACATTTCTCAGGAAAATGCACCCATTTCTGGTACTTCATCACTGAGGAAGAGGACATAAAATATAAAATCTTCAAAATAGGGACGGTTCACCTAAAGAGAACACACATACCTTTATTTCCGAAAAAAGTCTTGCAATTCCAGAATGAGTCCAATCCTTCCCGACCAAAGGCATGAACCGACCAAGAACATCAGACCTGCATGATTTGGTTCTTAGTTGTGAGCCATATCATTACTTCTAAGTTGTCTTATCCCTTGTTTGGTGGGATGATTTTCAAGGAGAGGGAAGAGGAAGGGTGGAATCTATTTGACCAACCATAGATCCTTCAATTTCAAAGGGAAATTCATAAGCAGACATCCCCAGTACAAACGGAACAGCTTTCTCCCATGACAAGTACTTCCCATGGACCCTCACAACCAAATTTTCATTTTTAATAATTNTGCAGAGTTTTTAAATTCCATTTCAGATATGCGATTTGCATCAAATACTTCTACAGCCAAACCAGACCCCATTCCAGGATGAAGAAGGTTCCCACAAAGAGAAATCTCTAGTCCTGCACACACATAAAATTATAAGGTGTATTGAGCAAGAAGATAGCCTCCTTGATGTCAAATGAAACAAATACTACATTCATCCCAAAATAGGAGCTATGTCTCACCCGTACAACTAAATTCTGGTAAGGTACACATCAACTAGTCCGTATATGTTTAATTTTCAATTTATTTGTTCATTTGGGTAACTTTAGTGTACTTCACTTATAAGGTACACTTGTCTTTTCTTTTTAATGAAAAGCAATACATCAAATATTAGGAAATTTAGATTCCTTAGTTCAAAGAGGACTCTTTTTCTAGGACAAAAGTAGCACATGGGAAAAAATGCATGGCATGTACTGATGTAGATTTCAAAGCATTTGGGGGAAAGATGAAAATAGGTTCTCCTTAAATGCTACATATTGACCTGTGATGTTGGTCAAGTAAACAGAACATGATCTTTGTTTTAGCAAGTCGACTGAAACAGGAGAAAAACTGTTAGAAGATTCAAAACAATTCAAATGGAAGACACAAATTCATTCAATGCGAGCTTATATATATGAAGATATAAAATAAACTAACCAAGGCAGAACAACTTAAGAAGGTAAAAAATATTACCAAACCAGACAAAATAGACAGCAAAGACACCAAGATATTAATAGTTATACAGAAACAGCTCCACGAGGTTTTCTTATACTGATCAGAAGACATCATTCATTGAACTTACATGTGAACTTGAGATCAGGAGGTTGAATCACCACCAAGTCTGTGCCAGTCATTCTTCCTCACCTGAAACCACCATTAGGTCACCACACAAATACCTTAACTACTGCCAAACAGAAAATCTAAACAGACACCCTAGTCAGAATCGCGATCTGACTTGTACGATTCTACGAGTCCAGGGATCGCCAGCAACTTCCCGATCTGACTCGCCTCCAGAATCGCGATGGTCAATAGGCTCGGTCGGATCGTCGTTCCGGATCGAGAAATCGTACGATCGCAATAGATCGACGATTGAATGCAGCGTCGCTTCAAAATCCCAATCCAATCGCGACTTTGAATTTCGCGACTCCCAATCGCAACTCTGCTTCTGTCGCGACTCCCAATTCTAGTCGCAACTCCCTTCCAATTCCAGGCTACGGAGTATTATTTATCTGCTTCTATTTATTTGCAATTCTTTATCTGCCTATCATTTATCTCTGCTTCTAGACTTCCCTTTCTGCTTAGGTGCTTTCTTGATGCTTTCTTGAGTTTCTTCTGCTTCTACTCGAAGCCTTCTCTTTTCAATTAGACAACTATAATGTCAATTCAGGATTATAATTTTAGCATTGATAATTATGTTTTAGATGTTTAAAAATATAGCCTTTAAGTCATTTGTGATCCAACTTGAACTTGTGTTTTTTACTCCCTCCGTCTCACTGTCTTTGTCCACTTACCTTTTGGCACACCATCCAATGCACTTCTTTAATCCATTTTATCTTGTAATTTGTATATTAAAAAATTATACAAATTATATATTAATAATCTATATGTTAAGATAAATCAAACAAGATCGCACATGACTATTTTTAGGCTTACACATTAAGAGAATTTGATGAGTCAAAGTGTTTAGATGAACAGTTCCAAAAGTCAAACGTGGACAAAGACAATGGGACGGAAGTAGTATTAAAATTATATATATATATATATATAGAGAGAGAGAGAGAGTTTGGTTCAAATAAAAATGAAATCTAACGAAAGAAATAAGAACAAATTGTGGCCGTTTGATCTTGATCCCAAATCATTCCTTTGCCTATTTTATGTATGGGCACCATTGTCTTTTTACCCAGAGTCTAATCTCTCTCTTCCGGAAGATTAGCAGCGCATGTTGAGCCTTCAATTCTCTCTCCCCCTATGGTTCCGATCAGATCTCTCGCTTCCATCTGCGTTTTTTTATCTTCTTCCCCTAAGTGGATTCGATTTTCCCTTTGGTCTCTTTAGATGTGCTTCTTGTCATTTATCATCCAGCCTCCTACTTTTTACCTACAATTTTTGTGAGAGTTGTTCGTCATCATCCTGGGAATGCATCAGTGTTTGGATAGATTCAGGTATTATAATCTCAGCCACTCATCCTAATTTTTCTAGTATGTATAAATCCCCTAATTTCTCAATTTGATGTTCCAATCGCTTAATTGAATGATTGGATCTTCTTGTTCGGCATTCTAACCACTTCTCAATTTGGCATTCAACTCTTCATCTTTTGATTCATGTTTCAATTTTCTCATTCTTTTTGCTAAACATGATTTTTTTGTTTGACAACACACAATTTCAAAATCATTTTTTCATGTGAATTGTGCTTCTTGTTAACTTTCTGCTCATTTAGGTTTAGTGAATTGCAGTAAGTCTTTATTTACGTAGAATTTTTTGTTTTTGTTTTTTGCTGGATGCAATGAATTTGGAATGTAGTGTGCAAAAACTCCATTTAGTTGGTGTAGGGAGCAAAATGGGACATAGATGCACTATTATTATCCTTGGTTGCACATTGAGTAATAGATTTGTTAGAGTTAGAGATCCAATATAACTGGGAAATTGGATGCTTCCTTCTTTGTGTTTTCAAATGAATTTCAAAGTTTAACACCTCTGTTGAGTCTCCCTTTGGGCTGGTCTAGATTGGTTTAGAAGAACAATGATACACCTTTTTCAAAACCCCTTTTTATGTCTTGTTTTATGCTAGTCTACATTGGTGTGCTGTGAAATTTTAAGATTTTCTTCTATTAGACATAGCATTGTAGAACACTAGTACTGCACTCCACCCCTTTGTATACTGCATTTACGTTGAGCACAACACCCACCTCCAGTCACATTTCAAGGCATAGAAAAAAGAAAGTAAAACATTTGTGGATTGTGGTTATATTGTTATATTCTTGGAAATTGTTGGCCATGATAATGTTGATTGGACAATTTGGTATTCAATAGGGACGTACATTATTGTTTGTTTGTTTGTTTTTTTGCTTTTTTTTACTTTGCTTTTTTCTATCATTGTGCATTATTGAATCAAGTTAATGCATTTATAAAAGAGGGCAATACATTTTCAAAAGCAAGCTAAAGGATAATATAAAATAAAAATTGATGCATGTTGGGGAGTATTTCTGATGCATTTGTATACCGAACATATTGATTTTTTCGCAAATGATGATGCACTTAAAATTTTCTGTTAAATTCTCATCTTAAAATATATATTTAATAGGTCTAAGTGCAAGTTGTGAGTCCCTTTAAAAAAATTGGTGTCTATTATCTCAAATAGTAGAACAGTACGTACTACGGTTGTATTATAACCGTAGTAGTACATACTATGGTTGTACTATCACTGTGCATTATTGAATCAAGTTAATGCATTTATAAAAGAGGGCAATACATTTTCAAAATCAAGCTAAAGGATAATATGGAAACAAAATTGATGCATCTTGTGGAGAATTTCTGCTGCTTTATATACTGTACAAAGTGATTTTTTCGCAAATGATGATGCACTTTTCTATAAAATTCTCATCTTAAAATCTATATTTAATAGGTCTAAGTGCAAGTTGTGAGTCTCTTTCAAAAAATTGGTGCCTATTAGCTCAAATGGTAGAGCAGTACGTACTACGGTTGTGGGTTCGAATCCCGCATAGGCAAATTATTTTTCAAATTTGTATTATATTTATTCTGAATACAATACATTCTTAAGCTTTTTCACCTCACAAAAAGTTACTCAGGTGTCATTATTCACTAATCCACAAATTAATACAAAAATTAAATAAAATATAAAAGCAAGACACAATGCATATATCAGCTAGCATAGTGCAATAACATTAAAAAGTCTATAAATTTTTAAGTTTTTACTTTAAAGTGTGAGAAACTTATAATAAAATGTGATAATATAAAAAAATAACCAAATATAGTTAACCAAAAAATGATAAAAATAACATGACAAGAAAGTATTATTTATAAATTTGAAAAAAAAATCAGAGTAAATAAATAAATCTTTTCCACCGTGTGAAATACATTAAAATAATGCATATGAGGAATAAAGAGTGCAATAGAAAAAAATATTGAATATTAATTTTTAATGAAGAAAATTGGCAAAAAAAATAAAAGAGAAAAATTTTTAAAAAAAAAAGAGATAAAAACGTGACATCAGATCCAAAAAAGAATCCAAGTGGGAGTCAAATGATATGGAAACATTAATTTTGGAAATGGATAGTTGCGTGTCATCCATGACCATTTTAAATGAAATACGATTTTACAACATTGCCCCTATTATTCTTTGATTTTATATCACAATCAATGAATTGATTTCCTTATAAAATCTAGTGTTGCCGTCCATTTTGTAAAAGGCTTCCATCCATTGATTGTTTGAGATCAATGGATCTCATTTATTCTTATTTCTTTTGTAGAAGATCATTCTTATTAGAACCCACCCATATATATATATATAGTAGGATCTTACGATCCGAGTCACGATCTTACGATGTTACGATCTTCATTATGCTTATCGATCCTACGCAAAATCTAGAGTTTGACTACCATGTTACCCTACTAAGAAAAAGTTCAATGCAATGCAGAATAAGTGAATACATAAACCCCCAACTTCATAATCACTTAAAATACTTGCAAAGTAGCAAATACATTCTATCTGCAGAAAATCTATATGCAGATAGTATTCTGTGAATGGTTATTAATTTAAATTCTAAAATAAGTTTTAAAATATAATACTAAAATAGTTTTCAACTGATAGGTAATAATAACAAATTTCACCCATGACTTAAACGAAACGCTATAAACTTGCTTTAAGAAACAGATTAGTATAAACAATGATACTTACCTTAACATTGATTTCTGCGAAGATTTTTTCTATGAAGAAATAGTACTTACCTTAACAATGATCTTGGAAATTAGAGCAAATGAAAGTGAAAAACAGATTATTCACTTTAAACAATGAAAAGAAAGTGGGTAATTACAAATAATTATCACAATCGGAGGAGATAACCATTCTCTACCAATGAGTGTAATTTTTTTATAAAAAAACGAGAAACAATTCACAAACCTGAGTGCAAAGCACAAGACTGTGATTCATTCCATCTTAAAAAGACGATTATAAATACCTGCTTGTTTGACAAAAATGTAAAGTATGTTTAAATTATTAATAATTACGAGTATATTCCAAAATTTTGAACTGAAAAAATGAAGGGGAAGTCAGATTTTGAACCGTCCTTGCACGGCTGCTCTCATCACTCCCCTAAACTCAGGTTAGCCATCCATTCTTTTCTGATACGCCTTCTTCCAAAATTAAATTTCTAGGGATTAATTTCTTCAATTCTTTGTGTTTGATATTTTTCTAAAATTTTTACAGATTTTTTAGAAGAAAGGATTTTCATCTATTGTAACCATTTCTTTATTTTGTTGGAAATAGATTTAGTATTCATGTGACTAATTAGTACTATGGTCTTGCAATTCAATATGTAATTTCAATGTACCCGACCACCAGTAAATGCATGTTGATCTTTCTCGCAATCAGTTTGCGTCTCTTTTATAAATTTTGAGTTTTGTTTTTTTGGGCGGTGCTGCAGGCTAAGTAACTTTGTTGCTGCCTTGCCTTCGGCGGTCGTGGCTAAAATTCAAAGCAAGAAGACTACAAATATTTTCAAGGTAGGTTTTTTTCACTTTAATATTTGCCGCAGTTGTAGTTTTTCAAGTATGATTTTATCTAGCTAAACATGAATTATATTTTGATCTTAATTAAAATTGAATCCTAAATACAATCTGAGTACTTAAAAATATTTGTAATCTTCAAAAAAATGGTTAAGTGATGGAAAAAACGAAAATAATATTTATGAGCCCAACATGCAGATTAAAAATGGTTCAGTGATGGAATAATATTTGTACTTAAATGCTTTATGCTTTATGTGTGCCTTTTGTTTCCTTCACTACATGTTGTAAAAATTTACTTTAAAAAAGATGTGGAAATGTCAATGAACTTGATTTAATTAGAATTGCCAACTGATTCTTTTTTTTAATGGTTATCTTTGGTTATGTGTTTATCTCTATGGCGTTGCAGATCACCATCACTAAAAGAAAACTATTCCCATGGTGATGGGAGAAAGTAGAGTTCAAGTTTAATATTGATTTGGTCTTTTAAGTTTATTGGTATTTAATGTGGAGTTTTCGTGGTGATGCATGTTTTATGTTTTCAAGAATTGAGAAAAAGAAATGCGTCGCTCGAGGTAATCTTTATGTCTAATCGCATAAAAGAAAAGAGTTAACAAATATATGCATTTAATGTGGATAGTTGGATGTGTAACCGCATGCTTCATCATTATTGTTTATGGAAAAATGAAAAAGCAAAAGCTTGAAAAATGCATGCTTTATGTTTTTGAGAATCAAGAAAAAAAATGTATGGCTCAAGACAATCTTTATGTCTAATTGAATAAAAGAAAATATTTAACAAATATATACATTTAATGTGGATAGTTGGAAATATAACCATTAAATCGCGTGCTTTATCATTACTCTTTATGGAAAAACGAAAAAGCAAAAGCTTAAAAATGCATTCTTTATGTTTTCGAGAATCGAGAAGAAGAAATGCGTGGCTCAAGGTAAACTTTATGTCTAATCGAATAAAAGAAAAGATTTAATGAATATATACATTTAATGTGGAGAGTTGGATGTGTAGTCATAAAACCACGTGCTTCATCATTACTCTTCATGGAAAAACAAAGAAGGAAAATCTTGAAAATGCATGCTTTATGTTTTCGAGAATCGAGAAAAAGAAATACGTGGCTCAAGACAATCTTTATGTCTAATCGAATAAAAGAAAAGATTTAACGAATATATACATTTAATGTGGAGAGTTGGATGTGTAGTCATAAAATCGCGTGCTTCATCATTACTCCTCATGGAAAAACGAAAAAAGAAAAGCTTGAAAAATGCATGCTTTATGTTTTTGAGAATTGAGAAAAAGAAATGCGTTGCTCAAGACAATCTTTATGTCTAATCAAATAAAAAAAGATTTAACAAATACATGCATTTAATGTGGAGAGTTGGTTACCCAGACTATATGTTATTTATAAAGGGAAGAAATGAACTCTGCTATCTTCCCACCTAAAGTTCCCGGGCACGGTTTGGATATTAAGTTTGGGTATCGGATTGAGCAAAGAAAATAATTTGTCCGATTGGGCAGATGGGTTTTTGGTTGGGCTAATAGGTCTTTGGTACCCGTGAAGGCATTAAAAACATGTTTTGAGATATTTATTTTGACGGCTTGCCTTTCACTTTAACCAAGATACTTTATTATCTAGAGTTTATAAATATTAATTAAAGCAATATAATTATAAATTACGAGTTTTCTTACCTAGAGTCTCGACCCTTCCTATCAATTTAACATTGGTAACGCAATAAACATTTAATGTATGTAATAGATGAAATACATTGGAAAACGGAGCCACGAACTATTTAATGCAAATTGTGATGCTAATTAAAAAATATAGAATAATTCAAAAACATTTTTTGAAAATATACTAAATTTTCATGGCTCTATGACTTAAATATTTGATTTAAAAGAAGAGAATCCAACGAATCGAACATTGGTTAATGAAATAAACATTTAATTGTGTCTGTAATAAATTCAACTTATACAGACTTTCATAATATTGCAATTGATTCAACATATTTGCAAAGTAGAATCTTGGCACAAACACTAGAAGTTGTGGATGAAATCAATGAATACATGACATCATTGAACAAAATGGGAGAAGCTAGAAGTTACTTGAGTTCAGATGCTGTGTGTAAATCTGATTCAAATTCAGATTTCTTAAGTGACATATATGCATTCTCCAGAATTTACAAATAACATCTGAGCATCTGGTGTCCCAAACCATGAATTGAAGTTAAAGATTGGAACATCGGTAATGTTGTTGAGGAATATAGGCCAATCTTCCAGTATGTGCAATGGAACTAGGTTGATCGTTACACGACTTGGCAATCATCTAATTCAAGGCAAGGTGTTAAGGAAAAAAAATTGGTCAAGAAATTGTTATCCTGCGATTGTTGCTTCGCTATCGGATACAAGAATTCCTTTTAAATTTCAAAGGAAACAGTTCCCGATTATGATTTCTTATGCTATGACAATTAATAAAAGTCAAGGACAATCATTGACGCATGTTGGGCTTTTACTAAAGAAATCTGTATTCAGTCATGGTCAGCTTTATGTGGTATTATCACGAGTCACTAATCGCAATGGATTAAAGATTTTTTTGTGGTGAAGATCCTGCGACATCTAATAAAATTGCAAATGTAGTCTATAAAGAAGTTTTTCAAAACTTATATTGTTATTCTATCACATTGTGCGTTGTTGTAAAACTCCTTCTCTTTTACTTCTATCAATGCTTCTCCTATTTATTTAGCTTTAACTTAGGCCGTGCAGCGCACGGGTTCGAGTCTAGTTAATATAAAGACAAGATTTTTTTCCCTTCAAAACTAATTTCACAATTATATTTGCGATAAATAATCTTAAAAATTTTATTTTTCTTAACTTCAGTCTCCACAAAAAGTCGATTGTTTTTTGGGAGGAAGGATACATTTTCTTAGCACCATTATATTATTGTTATTTGAAACTACATAGTGCTGAGTTGTCATAATTTTGAATCATTCTTAAAAGTGTGCAACATGACATTCTCCCAACCATTCACCCATTATAAACTAAAAGCCAAGGACAAAGGATTCATTGTCAACCCGTGGCCATCAAAGCATTGCCTCCATTTTTCCCATTCTTTGTAAAAACTAAAGAAAAAATGATGAAGTTGATTCTTTTCTATCTATATGGTTTTTAATCCTAAAGAAAATACCACTAAGTTTGAATCAGACACAAAGAGACGATGGTTCGAGCTGTCGAGGAAGAAAGGGAGACAACTTCCATGAAGGCCATCACAAAGGGAATAAATGAAAATGGAGGAGGAAGTACATCCACAGACAAACAACCATCAGGCATGCAAATTAAAGATCCCATTCATTTATTATATCTATATATATATGAAACATTAATTTTCCCATTTAATTAATTTACTTTGTTGGGTTGACATGTTTTGTTGTTAATTAATTTATGAGCTAAATCTATCTAGACATGGATCTGATGAAGGAGAGATTTGCGAAATTACTACTTGGAGAAGATATGTCAGGGGGAGGAAAGGGCGTATCGTCAGCATTAGCGTTATCAAATGCAATCACAAATACAGCTGGTACACATATTTATAAATATATGTTTGAGTATGATAACCTTATAGTGTACTTATAATTTCGAGATGAAAGTTCTTCACCAAATAGTTTCTCCCTCTAATTATTATTATTAATTAAAAAGCCACAAACATGCAGCTTCTGTCTTTGGTGATATAAAAAGATTAGAGCCCATGCCTCCCGAACGAAAAGCAAGGTGGAGAAAAGAGATCGATTGGCTTTTATCTGTCACCGATTACATTGTTGAGCTTATTCCTTCGAAACAAAAGTCTAAAGATGGATCAACCTTGGAGGTAATAATGTGTACATACACATGTTTAATTAAATGTATGATTAAATTAATTAAGGTAATTAATTATTTACGTTATTACTAACAATATAATGTATACAATATTGATCGATGATCAGTATATATAAAATGTGTTTAATTTGTTTTGTGACATGCAGGTAATGGTAACTAGGCAAAGAAACGACCTTCACATGAACATTCCAGCACTTCGCAAGCTAGATGGGATGCTTGTGGTATAATTAATTAACATCACCAAATGCATAATAACTTACTACTACGAACTAGCTTTTAATGTGTGGATTTAATTATTTGTTACTCGGATTCAAAAAGATATACTCCTTCCATTTCTTAAAACACTTCTTCTTTCATGCATTTTTTTGTTTTCTTTAAAACACTCTCACTTTCTATTAAAAAAAACCATTTTTATTCTTATTTTTACCAACTCTACCTATTGCATCATATTTTTTGACTAATAATCTATCCATCAAATATTACTTTTACGTATTACATCAAGGTCAAAATTAGAATCTCAAGCACAAATATAGACTCCTATTTTTCCTAAAAGTCAAAATATGAACTGTTTTATAAAATGGATGGAGTATATATATACAAGAAATATTTGCACTAAATAGCACTAAAACTTAAGTCATTTTTCTAAATAGCACTTAAATTGTTTCATTACTTAAATAGCACTTAATAATGTACATAATGTCGAATGATGGCAAATATTTACTTGAATAATTACTAATGCATAATGACTAAAAGTGCTATATTGGAAAGAAAAACACATATGATGCTACTTAAGAAAAGTCTTTATGTTTTAGTGTTATTTAAGTAAATTCCCATATATACAAATAGATTGAGTATTATTGATGATTATGATTATATATTAATTGTGATCAGGATTGCTTAGATAGCTTTATGGATCAAAATGAATTCTACTATGTATCAAAGGATGATCCAGACCAGAAAGGAAAAAACAGAAAGGATGACAAATGGTGGATCCCCACTCCAAAAGTACCTCCTAATGGCTTATCAGAAGCTTCCAAGAAATGGATACAATCTCAAAAGGACGCAGTAAACCAGGTCCACAAAGCAGCTATGGCTATAAACGCTCAAGTCCTTGGAGAAATGGAGATCCCTGATACTTATATTGAATCTCTTCCCAAGGTATACACATATACCATATCTAGCTCCACAAACATATATGCATGCATGCATGAATGCAATCAATTTTACTTGGTTTTGTTCTAAAAACTTTTCCTGTTTTGATTTTTTCAATCGAATACTCTTGAACCAAAAATTAATCAAAATATAAATAAACAAATGTTACAAAAAATTGATATATCAAAACTATATACTAAAATAAACCCAATTATATTGAATTTATATGATAATTTAATATACTTTTCTCAATGGTCAAAGAGTGTTACTTTTTGAAAAAAAATCAAAACAAAAACAATTTTTAGGACCGGAAGTAGTATATATTGGTGTTCATGTTATTTTTATTAAGGAAAATTTACGTAAATATTACGGAGTATTAAAAAATAGTGCTTTTTTTGATATAGTACCATATGTTTTTATTTCCCAATATAGTATCATTGTTCAATGTCAAGTAGTCATTTGTAAGTAAATGTCTACCACGACTAGACATTGTTAAAACTAAATTTTCCAACATCATTTGACATTATTTCCGCGAGTAGACACTATTCTAGTACTGTTATGGAATAAAAAAATTTATGTACTACTCCGTACATTGGAAAATGACATACTCCCTCCGTCCCGTGAAACATGAGACTTTTGTTTTTTAGGAGGGATTTAAGAGGAGTATATTTTGGTATTGAATTTCCAAAAATGTCCTTTGATGTGATGGTAAAAGTATGATTTGATGGATAGACTATTAGTAAAAAGGTATGATGTGATAGTTAGGGTATGAAAAAGTAAAGGGTAAAAGTGACTTTTTAATAGAAATGAGAAGTGTTTTGTGGGACGGATAAAAAAAGAAAAGAGAAAGGTTTTATGGGACGGAGGGAGTATGTTTTAGTATTATTTAATGCAAATTTCACTTTTATTAATTTATGTATGTTATTTATTTACAGAACCGGAGAGCGAGCTTGGGGGAGTCGATATATAGATGCATTACGGATGAATACTTTGACCCCGATTATTTTCTCTCAACAATGGACTTGTCATCAGAACATAAAATCCTAGACCTGAAGAATAGAATAGAGGCTTCTGTTGTGATTTGGAAAAGAAAGATGAATGCCAAAAACGAGAAATCAACATGGAGCTCAGCTGTCAGTATAGAGAAAAGAGAGTTGTTTGAAGAGAGGGCAGAGACTATATTGCTCATTCTCAAGCATCGCTTCCCTGGGATTCCCCAGTCTTCCCTTGACATTAGCAAAATCCAATATAACAGAGTATGTAATACATCCTCCTCAAAGTAAATTTTGTGCCTTAGCCCTTAGATTTTTCTTAGACTCTAACGCACACTTTTGAACATGAATATCTTCTCTTATACTTCTTCTGTCTCATAAAAGTGTTCCAATTTTGATTTTTAAGAAATTTAAGGGAGAAATATTTTTGTGTTAATTTTTTAAAAATACCCTTTATTTCATGTGATGGTAAAAGTAGGATGGTCAGAACTAGTAGTGGTAAAAGTAATTTTTTATTAGAAAAAGGAAAGACTTTGAGGGACAAGAAAAAAAAGAAAGGAGAAGAAATTTGTGAGACGGAGAGAATATATAGTACTACTAAAAACTATGCTAAAATAAGAGTTAAAAAAATTAAAACAAATTTGATCAATTGAGATCACTAACTTTTGTGTTATGAAATAATTTAAAGCGTGTAGTATATATGTGAGTATATATTGAAGGTCAAATATAATGCTTGGTATATTTTAATTTTGAAAAAGTCAAGGTGAAATTTATTTAGAGAGACAAAGAGTATAATATTAGAATCACTTCTCAAACTGAAAAATTATTCATTATTGATCTTATATATCTTTCTCGTACGCCTCAAATAATTTGTCTAGTGATGTTTACATTTCTAGAATGTGGGACATGCGGTTTTAGAGAGCTATTCACGCATAATTGAAAGCTTGGCGTTCACAGTCTTATCACGAATAGAAGATGTTCTCCATGCAGATTATGCGGCACAAAATCCGACTGAGAGTGCCAACACCGCTCTAAAAGAATCATCATCCCCATCATCATCTATGGTCAAAACTCCAACTCCTAAAGAAGGAGAGAAGCCCAATGCTGTTGCGACTGAAACGACTACATCAATGACATTATTGGATTTCATGGGATGGACAACGTTAGACCAAGCAACAGACCCTGATTCGAAGAAAGAAAACAACATGAAATTTGGAATGACAACTAAACCACCTGAGATAGTGAATACCAAGAAAAGTTCTTACCTTGAGAGAGCATAGACGGTATATATTGACCAAATATTCATTGTTCTGTTCAATGCATGACGCTCTTTAAAATTAGTGATTGTGACTAACTATAGAAATATATTGGAGTTCATTGAGAGGTTGGTAAAATGATTGACATTGTATGTATATATGTATTTTGTTGAGAGATTGATCAAAATCCCACATAATGTGTCACTATGTAATTTCTTTTGTAAATAGTTAAAGTAGCTATATTGACTCAAGTTTTTTAATTGGATTTGATTTAATCTTGTCAACCTATACTCTTTCATGGTCTTGCAATCTCAAAAAGAAGTTTAAGAGCATATATTATACTCACTTCGTTCCACAAAGCCTTTTTAGTTTTGAATTTTAAATGATTTAAGGGAAGTCTATTTTGATGTTCACTTTCTAATGATACCCTTGAATGTGATAGATAAAAGTAAGATGAGACGAATAAATTAATAGTAAAAAAATATGATGTGATAGGTAGATTAAGAAATAATAGGGGTAAAATTGACTTTTTAATAATTTATAAACTATAATTATGAACATAATAGCTATAATAATAATAAAAATAAAAATAATAAGATAGATATATTTTTTAGAATAATTTGGTAGAAAGTAGAAAGAATTTGAAAAAAATAAAAATAATGGAAGAAACTGAAAGTAACAAAAAAACGGAAAAGAACTAGAAGAACTAGAAAGAACTGAAAAAACTAAAAGAAACTAGAAAGAACAAGAAAGAATTGGAAGAAACTGAAAGATAAGAATTCAAGTTCTAAAGGACAGACATAGACTTTTATGCTTTGCAATCTTTTTTCCTTTATTTAGGTTTTTTTATCCACTAAGACGTGGTTGCACATTAAAACAAGGGAAAATTGAAAATTCTATGGTGGACCAATGGTTCACCATAGACCTGCATATGAATAAAATAAGCTTTTACTTACTACTTAAATAAACATCTGTTTTTTAACATAAATAATTATAAAAAATTATATGAGAAAGTCCACAAAAATGATAGGCAAAATTGATATGCATCCAAAGTGCACTACACTAAAGAAATACTCTAAAACAAGATGAGTTTCAATTTCATTCATTACCTTAACTACAAGGCGACAACCATCCATCATTAATTGAAGATGAACATAAGAGGGAGTGTCGTGAAATTTGTGAGTTCGTTGTTCATCTTCAACACTACTTTCACTATAGTCAACATAGTCATAATTTCTGAACTCCTCGTTTCTTAACAAAACATCGAAACATTTCTCTGGTTTTCAAACCATCATCAATTAATATACGATACCATCACTGCATCACATACAACGCCATAGGTTTCTTGCTAACTTTATATTAAACAGAATTGCTAAGTTAACACAAAGCAGAAGAATTTAGTCCCAAAATCACATTTGCAAAATTTTTAGCACAAAATAGACTAACAATCATTCTTTGGCCACAATGAAGAGTTTTTGTAATCTATGAGGAAACAAGCCCAAGAATGGACAGCCTTCATGCAAACTACTACTATTCATGGAGACAAATGAATTATGGTGCTCTATATGCTAGTTGCCTACTTGTACAAAACCTCAAATACTGGGACTACCTCTATAAATACAGAGCTTCCACCATTGCATATTATAAGAGTGGAAAAGAAAAGGGTGCAGCAAATGAGAGTGGAAAGATGATGTGTACCACAACTAGTGAGGGAGAAGGAGGGCAAACTCAATTTCTTGAAGAGTTTTCCCCTTTGTTTCAACCACATTCCTCCTCACAAAGGCCACCGCTATCAAGCAAAAGCCGCCAAACGATGTGTACAGAACTTGTGGTCCGAGCTTTTCTAGCAGAAAGAGAAACAAAAGTCCAACAAAAAAGTTTATGACCTGTCATGAAACCAAGGCACATCATTAGTAAACTTCTAATATTGTTTTTAAATCAATGAAAGAGTAAAATAGGCTAGGAGATGAAAGGGAAGAAATTACCCAATGCACAGACATGCAGACTGCCATTGCCTTAGCCCTAATCCGGCTTGGGAATATCTCCGAAAGGAGCAGACTGGGAACTGGTCCGGCACCGAAAGAGAACGCCAATACAAACCTACAAAATAAACTCAAAATTTGTGAATGAAAACAATTTAGCTTCAATTAGGTGACTGTGAAGTCATGCCGAGCCATTTATACATATGGGGTGAACCTCAATACGGAAGCAAGTCTATCTACTTTGAGGACATGAATTACACTTACAAAAAATCTTTCAATGTACAATTTGGAAAGTGATAAATTTGAAACTGCTTATATTCCGCCAAATGTACACTGACTTTTAAAATGCTGATACATTCGAATAGTATTATGTATCACGTATGTACAAAATTCCGCTTAATACATGACCTGAAAATCAATATTTCTACACTGCATTATATAACTCCGCTATTATTAACTTGTATACACATCAAACTATTATTGCTCCGCTAAGATAAATTTGTGTAAAATCTAATATTCTTACCACATTAAAACACAAACCAATGAAGTATCAGTCTTCAAACAATACATCAAACATTACATTATGGCATTCGATAATGCACAAGATATCGAAAAATATGACAACATTAAAAAACAAGTCCAAACACCATCAAAGGACATAAAAGAAGCATTTCTCCTTCTGGATTTGATTAAAATAAATCTAATTGATGAAATTCTGTTTTAATTTATTTCAAGTGTGTGATAAGTTCATTAATATATGCTTGTACTATATATCATATTACAAAATTGCCATAAAGAATTGAAAACCAAAAATTTTATTGTTTTTTTCTTCAAAAGTCGGCAAAATACCGGGGGAAAAAACCTGAATAATTTGTGGTGTTTTACAATGTGCATATGTTACTGTATTTTGACAATAATATGAATTCAGCCGCATTGTTGTGCAAAATCATGGATTTGCAATAACTCACGAATTAACTAAAAAATGACTTTACTCACATTAGGATGCCACCAACAGATAGATATACTTTTGCAGAGTCTGGTATGAACGAGAATGATGCCAGTACTTGAGTAAACATTGCCATTGTCTGAATAAAGAAAAACAAAATCTCAAAAGCAATTTACAAGCATTTAAAATGACATCAGAACTCTCTTTCAGTGCAGTAATGATTATTGTTATATCAATAGAATGTTTTACTTACCATGCCCCAGAAACTCCAGAGAAGAAGCACCTTCCTTCCAAGTTTATCCATTAGAGTCATGGCAATAATGGACCCTGCAGAGAGGCACCAGATAAGTTAATAAATGTTATAAAGACACCATGGCCCGTCGGTTATCCCATAATGTACACTATCCCTGTGACTTTTTTGTGTGATACCGTTACTATGTAATGTCACATATTATGAATTCGTGTGATGAGGTACTGAGTGTTTCACAAAATTTTAAAACCATCCACATCCGAAACATATATTACACTTCAAAGGGAAAAGCAAATGTAAAAAGAAAGACTTGTAAGGCTCCGTTTGGTACACGGAATTCAAACGATGGAATTGGAATTGAAGACTTCAATTCCAATTCTGGTGTTTGGTAGCACAAAAATTATGTGAATTTGGAATTGATAGTGCAAAAAATGAATGGGAATTGGTGAATTCAATTCTATGGAATTGAATTCTATGGAATTTTAATTCCAATTCCATCAATTCTGTATACCAAACGGACCCTAAGGGAAATAGGATGGAAACGGATCTCCAATGGATACCTGTAAGATTTACAATCCCTACACAGATGTTTGCAATATCTGAAGGCACTCCAGCACTTCTAAACACCGTTGAAGAGAAATAGAAGACGGCATTTATACCAGATAGTTGTTGCAAAGCAAACAAGGAAGACCCGACAAAAACCACTGCACAAAGCATTGAGTGGTCAAATTTATGAAGAGAATCATACATTAAATTTGATTTTTCAACCAGCAATCAGTACCTCTAAAGTAATGGCCATAAATTAAATCTGACATCTTAACATTATCAACCTCATCTACTTTGTCAGACTTAGAAAATTCTGCCATGGCAGAGCTAACGTGTGACCCTCCTACCAGTTTCTCAAGCTCTTCTTCAGCTGCTGTAATTCTTCCTCTCTGTTCCAAGTCGACATGTATTCCGTGTGAAAACGACTAGTAATAGAGCATTTTTATAGTTTGAGATCACAAGGCTCATACGAAACCTTGTAGGTTGCTTAGAATTTGGTGCTTTGGTTGAACATGAAGTGATGTTTTTTTTCTTTTTTTGCTTTACAAACCACATTAAAATTTTCAGGATAAGAAAACATCAAAGCCCGAAGTGAAGCAGAAACAAGAAAATCTAACCTTAACAAGCCAGTGGGGGCTTTCTACACAGAATTCCATCAGTATAGCAAGTAGCACGGCAGGTGCAGTAGACACCCAAAAACAAACTCGCCACCTGAGTATCATCAGAAAGGATATTATAGTGATATTTCTCCACCTAACTGCTTTATGGCTTTCAGAAATAGGCCCTAAATGCAATGACAAATATCACAATCCAAATTCAAAGTGACATACCAACCAACAACATCTTTGGATGGAATGCCGATAAAGAGAGAGCACATTAGACCGCTACATGTTGCAATCTGAGGGAAGCTCCCATAAGTTCCTCGTACAAAGGCAGGTGAGACCTGCTCAAACATATAGTTGCAGTATATATATTGTATTACGAATGGTAATGTCATAGTAAATTGAGGATAACTCTTGTTGGGAGCAAGTAATAATATAGAGTGTGTAGTTTTTACCTCTGCCACATAGAGAGCAGCAACAGCAGGACCAAGACCCATCCCTGTACCAACAAAAAGTCTTCCAATAAGCATACTTCCAAGAGTACTTGTTGAGGCACTGCACTTGTGTGATTCGATAGGCTTTAGTTAAATTAAGAGATATATACCCAATGTCATAAAAAAAAGTTTTGTTTCAAATTCTTTAGTCTGAAAACAAAAGTCTTGTTCGAGCAAAAAAAAATATTGTAGAACGTAATGTAATTTGTTAAGAAATAGTTTTCCAAACAAAACAATTTAGTTGGACTTAAAAACCAGTTTAAAATTAATGTAGAGTTAATAATTTACAAGAGTTATTCCTTAGC